ATCCATCCATCCATCCATCCATCCATCCATCCATCCATCCATCCATCCATCCAAGTTTTGAATAACTTGACACTTTATAGGTGCAGGTTGCCTGACGTATAGACAGCATAATATATGAGAAGAGCTTTTGGATGTAACCAACAGTCACAATTTGTAACTAAAACTCCATATTAAAAATTGTTTTACATTTTTTACCAGAAGTAATAGTTTGTGTCAACCTTGTTGCTAGAGGAGTCATATTGTCATGTATGTTCATCCCACGTTATATTCATATCTGTGTTCGTGGTCGCAAGAGGACAGAAAGTTCTCATTATTTAAAGATACTCATGCCAACTGTTATCTGCAGCAGCGTGAAGGTGAGACAAATACATCCATGAGATAGACCCTTTGAGGTAGACACAATAAGAAATACTTCCGGTGAATGTAGATATTTTATATCAGCCAGTGATGAAGTTACACATTATGACCACCAGAGAGGGCAGTGTCTCATTTGGCAGTTGGCTCACAGTCCTGGGGACATCAGAGCAGGATCTTGGCCAGAGAGAGCTCAGGGTGTTTCTTCCATAGACTTACTTTGGGACACTAACAGGATACTATAACATTCAAAACATGTGTCAGGCACATCTGTTGAGGTAGAAATGTGAATAGCTACTAATCACCTGCCAATATCTGGATGTTTCTGTTTGATTTTACAGTAAATAAAGACATTTTCACCTAATGAGAATTGAACCCTGAAACTCGCCAATTTGATAGCTTATTTAGACCTATTTAACTCCACTGCGTTTCACAATAACATCTCATATGTTGTGCTGTATCGGTTATATGAAGGTCTTCCCAGGTAACTGATGAGAATGTCGTGGACTGACATGTTACCAAACTGTGGGTGGAGAGAAAACACTTTCTGGCTGATTTACTGTGAAGGGCTGAACACATTGATTCATACTAGCTCAAAGGGAAACACTTTGTCAGACAATGTCAGGATCATGTCTGTCAGCTTGTTTTGGAGAATGGAAAAATCATTAAATGCATCATTATATATGTATTCATATATGCTCAGATGTTAGCAAGTCAGATCACCATATTTATCTGTTCCCCATTCAACAAATTTTTGCCAAATTTGCATTGGGCAATATGGTGTGGCTATATTACATCACCCAAACAGTTCAGACTTTTAACAATGTCTATCCTCATATGTCAAGGAGAAAATCCCTTCCATTATGCAGACTCAGAGGAAAATATCGTGCTATTACAACTATATATATGATGTGGTTATGATACAGTACAGGTGACAAAAGTAAAATAGAACTAAAGTTATGCACTCTTTAGCACATTTACCACCAGCTTGTTGTTGCTCACGCATTTGGTTACAGATTTTGACTTTCTAAGGAAATGTAGATTCCTGACTTGATGTCATTTACATGAATAATGTGTATCTATCAGCAGACAACATGATCTCACTAACTGTCTTGATAAGTCTTACTTTAAATTGTCTGTATCAATAATGTGTTTGTTGTTGGTTTAAGGTTGGGGGAAATGAAGCATCATTATTAGACAGGCTGGGAATGTGAACAGGTGTTGGGAGAAGATGACTCTTACAGTACAATAGGCAACTTTATCCAGAAGATGGCAGTATTGAACTAGCAGGTCATACAGTCTGGTTCAAAATTGATTTCATCAGGAACAGGTTTGAGAGGGATAAGAGACAGTGCAAACAATGTGGCCCCCTCCACCCCCACTATCCTCTCTCTCTCTCTCTCTCTCTCTCTCTCTCTCTCTCTCTCTCTCTCGGTGAGGTGACGTTAGATGGTGCACAATAACACCTGTCAGAGCTGATATTTTTGAAAAGCTTAAATAAATTGACTGTAAATTCCTCGGTCAATACATGAGTCACTGTAAGCTAACATTACCAACTGTATGACTGCACATTTTGTAGGACTTGACATTCAAAGGATCAGCACAAATAAACTTGTGTGTCGTGTCTTGTGTGTTATTTGTTAGCTTCTAGGTTCGTGACCAATGACAAAAGAAACTGTTTGCTGTGACGTAAATCCATCCATCCAGCTAAAATGTTGATATCAAAGAGTCTCACTGAACTATGCCCGTAACAAATCCCAATATTAAAGGGTAACTCCAGAACCTTTCACCCTGGACCCTATTTCACATTGCAGCCCGTTTCGCAGATGCTATCTGCAGTGTTCCCGATCAACAGAACAGAAATATATAGGGTCCACGTTGAAAAATACCAAAGTTACCCATTAAAGTGCCTTGTTTGAAATTTAGAGCGTATCTGTGATTGAGGGATTGCCTCCACATGGCTGTCGACATGGCGACGGCTGAACCTGCAGCTAGCAGCTAATGGTGCTAACAGCATGACCAGTGCAAACAATGGCAACTGTGCTGACAGATCTTAAAGTGTTCACCTTCTGTGATAATGCCCTTGTAAGCACAGTGCAGAGCAGCAGCCATTTGGGGCAGGCACACAGGGACTAAAAAGCATGCACGGCTGGATCGACCACATGAACTAAGCCAAGAGAAGCTTGGATAACAGTACACACAGGAGACGTTTTCGTTCTGTTTACTCCACTATATCTTTACACAAATAGTTGTGTGCTGCTTTATTTATGCTCAAGATTTTGAGAATTTGTTATTTTATCCAAAATGTATTCACAACGTTGCCCACAATGATTTGCTCTCAACAATAATAATCTATGGCTGAAAATGCCTTAAAACTAGTAACCATCATAGGAAAACACATTTATTCAAACACAGATTTAAGTTACCCACAGTAAAATGGTTTGTAACATTTATTAAAGTTCCCTCTGCCACATCTGCCCTGTCTGTCTCAGTCAATGAGCTTGTAGATAATTTCAATTCTAAAAAATTACAAATATTATTGATGCTATTGCACCCACTAAGGTGTTGCTGTCTCTAGTAAGAAAACATCCTAATTGAGAAATGCCAAGCTGGTAAGAATAAAAAAGCTTAACTCAGGTTGCGAAAAACAAACACACACTTGCTTGTGTCAGAATTTTCTTCAATTAAACGAACGATAAAACAGAGGCAACTGTTTTTGGAGCAAAGGAGGAACGATTACAAGTCAGCGCTCAACTTCTATCAGCCATGGTGAAAAACCACAGACCAAGCCAGAAATCTTGGTCATAGACCTGAATTTCAACAGCCACATCAAGATAATTACAAAATCAGTATGCAGTCATGTTAAGAATATAATCAAGGACTATAGGACATGTGTTTCAGCAGGAGTTATTCTAATCTTGTCCATGCATTTATCTTCAGTAGATTTGACTTCTGTAATGGTGTCTTTACAGGTCTTCCAAAATAAAATACTGGGATTAGACAGCTGCAGCTGATTTATAACGCTGCTGCTAGAGTCCTCACTAAGACCAAGAGCGTTGAGGTGGAGGGAGCAGCACATGCAACACATTATGCAGATTCAGATGCTCAGATATAAAGAAAATCCTTTAATTAAGTAAAAAAATTTCAAGCCAAGGGTGCTTAAAGCAGGCAGGTTATACAGGTGAACTACACTCCATGCAGCAACAAAGACGAAGTGACAGAAGGGAGCACAGAGACTAAATACACAAGGAAAGGAGGGAGATAACGAGGAACAGGTGAAACTCATAAGAGCGGCGCAGACAATCACACAGATCAATCAACAAACAAAGGCAGGAAGAGAAACAGGACAAGACCATTTGTCTTGACTTTCAAACTAAAACAGGAAACAAACTTTGACCGTGACAAAAAAAGTGGATCACATCGCTCCAGTTCTGAAGTCTTCATGGGTTTCTGTCGGTCAAAGAATTGATTTTAAAATACAAGCTATGAATGGTTTAAGGCATTTCTTATATTCTGCTACATGATGAACTATCCAGACCTCTCAGGTTGTCTGGAACAAGTATCACTTCTTTTATATCAAGGCTGAGGACTCTTCTGTTTGCATTATACAGTATTCTTGTATTTTATACCTGTCTTAATCAAATTTAACTTGTTGATATTTTCTATTCTCTTGGATTTAATTGAATTTAAATGTTGTTTTATAATGTATTTCTTTTTCAGTTTGTCTTTTGTCTTTTGACGTTTTATGTAAAGTGCTTTGAATTTCCTTGTTGCTGAAATGTGCTCATTAGAACGTTTATTTAACCTCTTAACTGAATGTCATTCATATCTGCAGTATATACAGTAATACATAAGCCCAGTAGCAGATCAGTGTCAATGAACAACGTAGCTATATATCACCTTTTAACTGTACAAAGTAAGTTCTATTGATGAAGCTATATTGAGACATTGTGAGGGCACACGTAGTTTAATATTTTCTCCAATGGCTGGAACTTAATTACTTTGCAACATACTTTTCTCTATTCATTAACGCCATGTCTGTTTCTAAAGAAGTTGCCGACTATCTAAGCCACCTTACTGTATATTCCCTTTAGACCAAATCTCTTCCTCCATTTTCCTGCGGATACTAATAGGAAAGTCAGTAAGACCGCTTTGGCCCCAGCCAATCTTGCTCTGCCTTGGATCAGGGCCTTATTAATTAACATATT